ATCTCCGTGTCACCACCACATTCCACTGTGCTGTTTGCTTGCCTTCAGAGCCCTCTCAGTACCTGGCATTGTGTTTTTGTTGACTTGCTTCTGAGATAAGTTGTCTCTTCTGCCTGAAAGTAAAACCTACAAGGGCAGAGGCCTCCCTGGACTGTCGCAGTCTCCTTTTTGCCTGTCTCCCTACCTCCTGCCTGTCCCCCTACTGCCCATTATTCTCTCCTACACAGTGAGAGGGATCCTGCTGGAGTCAGGTCAGATCATGTCTCTCCCCTACCCAGAATCCTCCACGGCTCCTAGCCACACCAGCCTCCTTCTCACTGCCTGAGCTCTTCCTAGCTCAGGGCCTTTGCATTTGTTGTTCCATCTTTCCGGAACATTCTTCCCTCACATACCCATATGGTTTGCTCCGCTCACTTCCTTCTAGTCTCTGTTCAAAGATCACCTTAGAGAGGCCTGCCCTGCTCACCCTACTTAGAGTTGCAATTCCCCACCCTATTTCCCTCTTTATTCTTCTCTATGGTACTTATCATCACGGCATACGTATTACCTAGACTATTGTTGTCTCCCCCAGGAGAATATCACTCCATGAGGATGGATTTTGGGGGGCTGTTTTAGTCACTGCTGGGTCCCCATTGCCTAGAACAATTCCTAGCACATGTGAGGTGCTTAAATATTGACTTTAAAAAATATACAACAATTTTATAAAATTCACCCATTCAAAGTGTGCAAGTTAATGGTTTTTAATAAATTCACAAAATTGTGGAACCCTCACCACAGTCTTAGAACACTTCATCATCCCCCAAAAGAAATCCCATACCCATTGGTAGTCTGCTCATCTCCCAGTGCCTGGTACAGTGCCCCCCTGGAAAGACTACATTTCCCAGTCTCTGTGTAGCAAGAAGTGTCATGTGACTAAGTTCTGGCCAATGGGAAGCAAGCAGATTTTCTCTTCTTTGTTCCTTGCTCATTCTTGCTGTCTGGAATGTGAACAGAAGGGCCAGAGCTCAAGCAGCAATACTAGACCCTAGGTGGAAACCACTGGTTAACAGATACTGGAGGGACCAGAAGGAAGGGGTCTGGTGAGTGTGGAGGTGCCATACCACCTCTGGTCTCCTGTATCTGCATGACAGAGAAATGTCTGCTGTACTGAAGGTAATGTTTTAATGTGAAAATGTTGCTGTTACTTGACATGTCTGTCACTCACAGCCAAATCCAATCTCAATAAATGTGTCTCCATGGCCCCCCTCACGATGAGGAAACTGATGTGAGGGACATTAACCTCGGGACATTATTTTTTACCCAAACATTTGGAAGAAAGACAATGTTCTCTTTTTTATTTTTCTCAAATCTAATTCATTTCACTTTT